CTATATTAGTCCACTGTATTTCAACTGGCCAAAATATTATTTATTTAGTGTTTTTTTTTTCTTGGTTTTCTTATCAATCTTTCTGACTTTTCAAAATGAGATAACCAAATAGGATTTTAGCTTAATTTCAATTTAGGTCATTTTTAGCTGCGGATGAATGCAAAATGTAAGGAAAAAAAATCAAATAATTTGAAATAAGGTCCTTTTTGGCGGCTGATGAATGCAAACTTTAGGAAAAATTTTTATTGTTACCGTAGTATTATTCAAATCTTTCGACCCACGTCTTTTTTAGTACAGAAATTACTAATGTTAGGTAAAAAAAATTTATGTCTGCATTTGGTTAAATTAACGTGTTCGGTGTAATATTAAAATTTTTAAAAAGGTTATTATTAAAAGAATCTTAAAAAATAGGGGTCACGTAACTTATAATTAATGCTTCTTTTTCTCTCTTTTTTATTGGTTTCACTCAATCGAGTAAAGTAAAAACCAATCAGAATTCGATCCTCGTTCGCACGACACGTGGTGGGCAGTGACGTCAATCCAACTCATTAAACAAATATTAAATAAAGGTAAACAATTAATTAATTAAATGATTGATGAATAACGTGACGACAGGTCGTTTGCGGTGAAGGACGACATATTCTGTTTATTCGCGGGAGTTCTTGAAAACTTGGGGAGCCTGAGGCAGCAGTACGGGCTGGCCAAATCGGCAAACGAGGTAATTCTGGTGATCGAAGCTTACAAGGCGCTCCGGGACCGGGCGCCGTACCCGCCCAGCCACGTCGTCGGCCATCTCACCGGCAATTTTGCCTTCATCGTCTACGACAAATCCACCTCAACTCTCTTCGTGGCTTCTGTAAGTCTCATAATCCCCATTTCTCTCTTGCTTTGATCAGTTCGCTCGGTGTTCGTCGAATAATCAGGGCTTTCGCCGTGCAATTCTGGCAGGATCGGAACGGGAAGGTCCCGTTGTATTGGGGAATCACCGCCGATGGATATGTGGCTTATTCCGATAACGCCGATCTGCTCAAGGGTGCTTGCGGGAAGTCACTTGCTTCTTTTCCTCAAGGTACATCCTCCTCGAGCTTTCCGAGTCTCTGTAACTGTCGGCTTTCTCTGTAAAGATAATTGAGGTTTTGTTTTTGTTTGTGTTTTCGCAGGGTGCTTCTTGTCGACAGCAGTTGGTGAACTGAGATGCTATCATAATCCTAAGAACAAGATTACTGCAGTTCCTGCCAATGAAGAAGAGATATGGGGTGCCACATTCAAAGTAATTCAAAACACTACATTGGATTTTTCGAATTTGTCACTGAATCCTTGATGTCTAAGACTTGTTTTTGTGGTTGATGTTCGTTTTCAGGTGGAGGGGCCAGCAGCTGTAGCAGCCACACGGTGAAGAGTGGATTTTTTCGCACGGCGGTGGAGATTTTCATATATCTGAGTTTGTCCATTTGGGGAAGATGGAGAGGTTTATTTGTGGTTGAAAAAGATGGATAGCTAACAGACAGGGATGTGTTTGTGTTTGTGTTTGTGTCTGACCAGAGAGGCAGATGGGTGTGTTTTTTTCTTTGTTTTCTTCTTTTTTGCTTTTACCTGATGTAAAGTCCTTTTGCTTTTGGTGTCAATAAAGTCCGTGACTTTGTAGAATTATCCTTTGTCATACACATCAAAATTCTAGATAAAGAAACTTGAATTTTCCACCACTTTTGATTCCGCCATTTTCGACCATCTATTCCAATGTATTGTTTCATATCATTGACATTTGAACCAGAACATTATGCAATTACTGAAACGTATCAAACAGAGCCTCAAATTATTGTATATATTCCAATGGCCAAGAGAGCAAATTTTGTCTATGGTGATGTGATGGCCTTAAAAACCATAGATATTGTCTCTGCCTTTGTCTGTTTCTACATGAAACGACCAATTGTCATGTTGATTAGCCTCTGGAATAGAATATATGACCGACACAACCAATTGACTCATGAGTACCTCCAGCAAGGTTGCAAGATCAGCAGATTTGATCAGTGAGCCGGAGAAATATCCTCCAGACTGCAAGAAGGAACCAATATTAGAAGTTGATCTGTTTTTTATATATAAATGATCTCCATCCCCGACGTTCACCGTACCTTCTCCACAAGAACTCGATGATGTCGGTAGTAAGGGTTGATCTTTTCTTATTCTCAAATGCAAGTGATGCAGCCCTTCTAAGTAGAGCAGATCCAGCAATGCACCCTAATATGGTTGGATTCTTTGGGCTATGTGTAAAAGGGCTTCATAAAAGATCATATATGGAATCAGAATCCGTCAGATGAGATTGAAAATCATATGCTGTTTAAATTCTAAAACTTGCCTGGTAGCCAAATTCCCATCTGTGGCTAAGCCTTGCCGCCGTGCCCAAGATACGAAAACTGCAACACTGAAACCACAGGGAGAAAGAAAACAATTTCAGACATTGTTGAAGAAAGTCGTGAACTTTTAGGGTTCTCAACTCTTGAATGAGAAATATAAATAAGGTACGTTGAAAAGATTAATTCATGGCAGTACTTGCCTTCCTGAAAGTATATCACCTTGGCCACCACAACGGCGAGGAGAACCATAGATGCTCACTGATTGTACTGCATCGGGTACCATAAAATTCACTTAATGGAAGAATCCAGTATAATCTAGCAAGGGAGAAACTCTGACACCGTATTAGTATTTACAACAACCCTTAAGAAGCACAAATTCCTAAATCTTCATGGACATTATGACAGGTCAAAACCAAAAATCCAAAGGATTTTACAGAAATTAGAAAGAACACTTTCAATCTATATTCAATTTGATTCACTTCCACCATGATATCAGGACAACAGCTTAGCTTAGTATACATAAGAGGGAATTTTATTGTTTTTTTCCTAATCTGACCAGGAGGTAAACTTCTGGTTGGTGACACTGACAATCAATTAATCTCCTAATCATAGAGAAGAAACATTGAATGTAGCACTTTTACAACATTGACATGGAAAATTATTTTGGAGTTGTACTCGGTACCTGTCTCACCGTCACTGATGAGGTCAGCTCTCCCTTTCCTGAGTATAGTTAGGCCACCAATCCTGATCATGTCCAAAAGTTTAGAGAACCAAAGACTGGAAAATTAAATTAAATAATAATGTACACTATGTAAGAAATTATAAAATAGAATGGAGCATAAACCCGCGTAGGAAAAGCTATCTCCAATTATCTTTGGCAATATAGAATGCCAGATGATTATTTATAGCTAGCCAACAAGAATCCCTTTAGTAAGATACAGTTATAATTTTCATCCTAATGTTAGTACCTTCATACTTCATAAATAATTATTTCAGGAAAGAAGTAGGCTAAATCGAGGAGTGATCAACTGTTGGAAGGGTAGGACACACCACCAAAACATTCCCATTCTTGACATTGAACCATTTGGCTAAAGACTTCAGAATGTGCAAATAGAGTTACTTCATTTAGAAAAAACGATAATGAGTCCTGAATATGTAGTAACATCTATTCTGAATTCTGATCAGATGAGGTCAACCCCTCAGCTTCCAACTTTTGTAAATATATGTACCTTAACCCGCTGATTTTGGGGTTGCGCTAGGTAGTGTGTCCATACAAGATTCACTTGAGCAATAAGTACGTCACCATTCCAGAATCATGACATATGGAAACTCTATTCAGATGGGAAAACATGAAGACTTTACCTTTTGACGAGGGACAGCAATTGCTTAGAAGCATCTTGTTCATCGATTTCAGCAAGCAGCACATTTTTCACAAGACGTTTATATTCGTTTACATTTGGAGTTAGGACGGCCAGGGGGTAATTGCTTACAAGGTGAAGATTGTCAGTGATAAGAAAGAGTCCATCCTGAAAAGCAACAAACACAACCAGCTGTCAGCAGCCACCTCCTAGAGACCTGTTGGATAGTAGCATGCATAACAATAGTATAAACAAGGCAAAATCGTATTTGCTTTGGTATATGCATACCCCGTCTATAACCATTGGTATATTGGTCTGCCTTGCATGCTTTATGATTTCGCTGACACAATCCTGCAACAGTTTTCAACCATTAGCAAAATTTTATGGTAGCGTTTCATAGGCAAGACAAAGAAATTTGATGACAAATCCAAAGGAGAAAGTTGTTAGATTTGAAAAATCACTTCAACCTCTGGGATGATTATAATTCATGTTTGAAGACTTGTTGAAAAAGTAAAAAGGCATAGGCTTACAGCCAAAGCAACCGCCAGAAAATATCAGACCAATGTAATTGAAGAAACAGTGGAGTAATTAACTTCATTTTACCATTTTAGTGGTCTGAAAAGGCAAAAGAGAGACACAGAGAATCAAAATTTTTCCATTTTTTGTAAAGACTCAGAGAGTGGAATTTCTTACATCTTTTGTATCTATCTTTGGGATCTCAATTGATTTGATTTTCGCACCTAAAATCCTTTGAACAAATAATTGTAGGGGTATCAAGTTACCAGCCCCTGGTATTGAAACCATTTGTAGAATTTACGCCAAGTTAGCATATATAGCCCTAATCAGCTTGTCCAAAATGATTATTTGAAACAAATTATCATCAGACTTACTAGTTCTAATGATCTTGAGGCATTGTCCTTAGCCTATAATAGAACCAACTAATCTGCACTTTCAAAGTCTATCATTTGAAGCAGGGGCAGCTCAATAATTACAAGTAATAGTCAGAGACGCTGCTGAAGTTCTGTTTGCAAGGCATCTGGGAGTACCTTATGCATATCAAGTTTGGGTAACAATATGACTTGACAATCATTTTCAGATAAGAAAATACAATCGTTATCGAACTATGCATCTTAGTTCAATCTACTCGAAAGAATTAAGACATGGGAAAAGTTCTAGCATCCTTCCCTAACTATGCACTTGATTTCAAATTTGTTCCTTAAGTTTTCAAATTCTCAACTACCTACCCCCATACTTTTGATTGATTTAAATTAAGACTCCCAACCACTAAAAAACAATGAGAAATGGACATGAATGGTTATTTTTAAAACTACTGACTGACGTGTACAACAAAAATGAGGTTTTCGTCCCAATGTGGCAAAAGGACTACAGTAAAGAAGGATTTTACCTTCATTCATTCAGCAGTTAGCATGAAGAAGGAAAAAAGGAGAGGGCTTTCACTATCTCATTTGCCAAATCAATATGAAAAATCTCATTTTCTCAAACATGTCAGCCAAAAGGTTGAAAACTTGAAGATATCATTAAAGCTTTTAAAATAAAGTCCATAGTTCAAGAGCAAATTATATAATTTAGCCAAAAAGCAATAACAAAATCACCAGAAGAAATGGGTCCCTTCCGAGGCCTGGACCAATGACAAGGCAATCAAATCTTTCCAGCCACTTGTCAACCTCAGCAAGAACCTTTTCTGCAATGAACTTCTTTTCCTCATCTCTAAAACATCATTAGAGGCATTAGAAAAATATTAAAATTTCCATTTAATTCTTTTTTTTCCCTCGGACCGAAATATAGAAAGCAAAAAGCACCTGACGCTGTATGATTCTTCTAAAACGGGATGCACAATTAACTCTGGACTATAGCTCTTTATGACAGGAGCAGCATCTTTTGTGCAGAAAACGTGAGACAAATCTGCACCCTGAAAGGAAAAACAAATGGTTTGTTTGTTATACACCTTACCTTCACGAGTAAAAAGAGGAAAAATTAATTATATAAACAAAAATGTAGAATAAAATTCTCTAACAAGACAACCAAGAAAAAGAGTCTGAACTAACAATTTTCAAAGCTGATATAGCAGCGAAGTATGGAGCACCTGTGTACTCACGACATCCACCAATAACAGCTATCTTCCCTGATAAACATATATAGATTGTTAAATAGAGTATTTCTCAACCTTAGCCACACTCTAATTCTAACACAGGGAAAATCATAAAATAAAGCATAAAACGTAATTGGAAGACAAAAGCGTAAACTGACACCAGGGATCAATATTGAAAATGAGTTAGCAAAATCTATCCAATAGCCAAAAACCATCAATTTGAAAAGTTGACTAACTATAAAGTTCTTGCAAACTGATTCATCACAAAAAATATACTCGAGTATTTACCAACCATTTGCGCAGATGGAAAATAAAAGAAAAGCCATAGAACTACAGGGTACATTTTGAGCTTACCCGCCTGGCCTTTGTATCTGTTGGGATCAAGAGAAGGTGTAATTGCTCTTATAATGTTCTCAGCATCAGCCTCAACAGAAGTCCCACTCATGGCTTTGATTTGTTGCCGCCTATTCTGATGGGTGCAATCACCGAAACCTCCAAGAGACCTTATCAAGAACTGTTGTCGTCTAAACACAGCCGAGGAAGCCAAAATTCAATTACTTTGCACTGTCGATTCACGTCAACTGATTAGGTCTCGAACGTGATGGAATCCGAAAATAGTTACTTCATTCTGTGGAAAATCAGTACCTTCTACTAATGCAACAGAAATGAGACTTAAAATAATTCGGTTCTTTAACCCACAGAAGAATTTTACAATTGAAACCAAAATCAAAGCTCAATTTGAGCCAGGAGCCTCAATCTTCGTCATAGAAACCAAAATCAAAGCAATTATTAGGGGAAAAAAATGCAACCTAATTCAGCTCCGATTTAGGGGAAGAACTATTCTTCTTAGAGAATCAGCCAAGCTAATGAGAGTCCAAATTCAATAACGGATAGAAAAATTTCAGGTTCAGCATACCTTAAGAGTTCTTCGCCTTTCGACGGGAGGAGGAGGAGAAGAAAGACGAAGAAGAGCGATTACACGAGGAAGGTGATGTGGCAGAAGTCAATCGTTCCACGTAGAGGGAGGTTTTCACTCAGCTCGGTCGACATGTAGTCCCAAGAAAGCAAAGCAACGTTTGTTCCGCTTGTTGAAGAAATATCGACATGTCGTTCAAATCACTTTTTTTTTTCTTTTTTTTTTCCATAAAATTTACACTCTTGTCATTGATACTCATTATCCAATTTACTAGTATTCAAAATATAAGATTGGTAAATTGAGAGATTACAATTTAAATTCTTTAAATTTTGTCTAATTAGACTATAAAAAATACCAAATCCCAAAATACTAACAGATCCCAAAAATCTTCAATAATTGAAAAATTTTGAAAACTCCTCCTTCCTCCGAGTTTTCTTCTTCCTCTCTTGTTCGAAGACTGCTCCGTTTCGACTGTCTGTGCTCCTTCTCTTCAACTTTTCTTCTTCGTCTCCAGTCGTATACGTTCCTCCATCTCCAGTGCCGTCAACGTTCTTCGTCTCCGGTTGTCGTCTCCATTATTTTTCATCGCTGGAGCAGTCCTCTATTCTTCCTCTCTCGTTCGATTTCCGACTGCTCCTTCATTTTCGTTTGTCGTCTCCTTCGTCTCGCCAACTGGAAAGTAATTTTTTCTCACATTCCAATATATCCTCCAAGTTTTTTATTTCATATTTGAACAATGTTAATAACCTATTGTTTTTTTTTTACTACTAAACCCCTTCCATACACATATATATTCAATGTTTTTTTTTCGATCTATGATTTTGTACAGTTTAACGCTCTATTTTTGTAGCCAAAGCGAGCATAGCTCAGTAGTAATTGTCATATACCTCAAATCAAGAGACTGCGAGTTCGAATCCCCTCTCCAACACGTTGTACTAAAAAAAAATAGGAATATGTTAACTAATGCTCTGGAATTGGTAAGAAATTATTTCAAATTCCAAGATTTAAGAAATTAATTATATGGGTGCAGGAGAGTGATGTGAATAAATTAGAAAAAATGAAAAATCTATTTTTCTCCTACAAATAGGGTAAATTTGTAACTTCTTATGTTTTAATTTAAAATCCTTCCAAATCTGATCTATTTGGAACGGAATTTCTTTTTTGATAAAAAAATACTGATTTTAAATGACCTGTGATTTCAAATTCTTTCCACCAAACATCGGATCCATTTCGTAAGGTTTATTTTTTCATTTTTAATAAAGAAAAATGTTTCGTAACGATCGATGATAAAATAATATTTTTATTTATATTAGGAAAAATTGAAAATGTGAATAAATTTCTACATAACTGTCAGAATGTTACAAGAAAAAACAATGCTAAGATGGGATGATATTAAGCTACGAAGGTTAGTGTTAGAATAACAAGTTTAATCTCAGTTACACCCTCAACCAAATTTAGGTCAGTGTTGCGAAGAGAAGAGAACCGATGAAGGAAGCGGCGAAGTTGAATGCGGCCAGGTCCGGCTTGGTGGTGATCGGAGCTCTGGCCTTCGGATATCTCAGCCTGCAGCTCGTGTTCAAGCCCTACCTCGAGAAAGCTCAGAGCTCTCTCCAACATCCCCATTCGGAGCCCTCAACAATTCCCGAAGACGCCATTTCAAAGCGCCATGATTAAGCTCCATCTTCATTCTTTTGCCTCAGCAAGTATAAATAAGTTTATCTCGATGGAGATTACTTCCAAATTTCTCCAGATTTCATGTGTCGATACTCGTTGAAGAAGATTACAGGCGGAGATACAGACAAGCCAGACAATTAATAAACTCCTGAAAACTTCTCTCTGATCAAGGAGGAATCCCTTTAGTTCTCATGGTATGTGCTCACTGAAATCTGGAATTTTACCATTCCAAGATTCACTGTGGTTCCAATCGTTTCTTTGCAACATCACGAACATTGTCCGGGAAGAAAATTATCTGTTGTAGTTTGATGTTCTTAGGTTATAAATTTCAGTGGCACTGCGTCTTTGTTATGAAAAGTGAAGATTATACTTTGGTCTATCTATGTGGTAATACTATTATGTTTTCGGTTTCTTTCATGATAGTTCAGATTAATAGTTCATCAGCTGATATCAAAAACATTCTCCATGGTTATTCGCAAGACAATTTAGCTTTCTTCTTGAAAGTGTTCTTATCTGGAATGACCTGCCATCGGCAGCAGTTTCTGTTTTTCTTTTTATTTCTTTTTACTACTGCTCCTGTGATGTCTGAATCTCAACCACACTAAGATTTATTCTTATCTTATCAAAAGATTTCCCACGGGTTATTTCTATTATGAATGAGTGGATCATCCACTCTGGTATCATGTATTATTGAAAAAATGGTGATGTTTGATACAAATAAAAGTCTGAAGATTTAGTTAAGATTAGAAATTGATGTAAATCTAGTTTGTGCACATCTTCTCTGTCTCTTTGAGCCTAAAGAGTTGGAAAAGCCAAATCTTCTATGATTCTATCATACATGATTGGGTTGTGAAAATTTTTGGATAGGCTTTTCACACTCTGATTTATCATGGCAAAAAGTCTCTCACATCATTGGCCTTCAAATAGAATTACTTGATTGAATGATGTCCGAGATCCCGAATTCGAAACGGGATTAGAGAGATCATTGAAGTCTACTGAAGCTGGTCTTGAGGGGGCGGTGTGTCTCCTGGTCACGTTTAACAAAAGCACCAAACCAGACCCTATCAGTACCCGTTCTCTGCAGTTTAAGCTTCTTTTGCTTCACTTGCTGGCAATGTAGTAGTAGTAGACAGATGGCAAAGAAAACCGTCATCGAAGCACGGTTCAGATTGTTCGAAAGGGAAGAGCGACTGTAGTTCGACTTCTGAGATATGTGTTTTGCAGCATAACTCATTCTCATGACTGTGTGTATCATCAGCTATATCTGCAGCTTGTGAAAGAAAGGGAGAGGATAGAGGCAAGGGCTCAAGAGAATCAGTTCATAATTTTGCAGAAGAAACTAAGAAGGGGGGGAAATTCATTTGGAAACTGAAAAAGGAGTTCTCTGATCTGAAGAGTCACAGCTGAAAGTTCTTCAATATTTTGAATATCAGATGCTTTTTCTCGAGTTTGAGTTCAATATTAGAGCTTTACTGTCCAAATTATCAAAAGTTATATATATAATTTAAGTTGTAATTGACATTATTTGAAACTCTGAGAAAAACAATTGACAATTGGAATCTATTGAATAATCATCTTAAAAGATTGATTGAGATGAATTGATGTTAATCCTTGTAAAAATGAGGAGGAGAATCCTGACTGTGGAGGTGGGGCTGTTGCCACCCAGCACAAGCTGCATCATCAAACTGCATCTGTGTTGAGTGCATTCGAATTTGAACTTAAAAGTAACATATCTTATCAATTAACTCATATGAATTTAGTTCCGCGGTAATTGACATCGGTCTCTAAGAAGAGGTCGAGAGTTTGAATCTCTCCATCATCATTGTTATAATATAAGAAAATTTTAAATTAATAAATAAAATAAGACTGCAAAAAGAAAAAAAAAGTTATCAAACAAATTAGATTTTGCCGAATAAGTTTTTAACTTATCCCGAAAAAGTAATTAAAAATAAAAAAATAAATAAAAACATTGGACCGACGCGCGGGATTGGACTTTAACAATGGCCATTGAGTTGAGGGCGCTGCGATACGACGAACGGCGACTCAATCCTGCGTGAAAATCAAGCTACTTCCACTTCCGTCCAATTCCGAACTTCCGCCGCTACCCATTACACTGCCACCGGAAAAACGCCCTTTTTGCTCTCTCTTCTACTCTTTACACTGCGAGAAATTCCTCCGGGACTCGAGAGTCGGCGCTGAAAGGCTTCTAATGGCGGGCTCTGTCGTCCAATCTAGTCGATCGAGGGACCTAGATAAGCTCCTTCTTAGGCCCGGTAATCTCATCGGCGCCAATTTTGAGCCTGGTTCCCAAGTGGGTGCTCCTTCTTCTCTCCGACATTTTGTCGAACACCTCGTCTTCAATATCTGGTCCGCAATCCCTTTATGGCTAAGTTAATTTTTTTTGTTTTCTTTCTACAGTTGAGGGATGACCTTCAACAGTACGTGAAAGTGTTGGTCGTAGGAGCTGGCGGGTTGGGCTGCGAGCTCCTTAAGGACTTGGCTTTGTCGGGTTTTCGGAATCTGGAAGTTATTGACATGGATCGTATCGAAGTGACTAATCTCAATCGTCAATTTCTCTTCAGGTTCCACCTATTTTCTTGACTTTATCTGTATTTTGAGAGTTCTACTCGTAGTATATTTTATATTTTCTACTTTTTTAAGAACCGGGGCCCCGGGGGTAGTAATCTGAAGTTGGTTGCTTTCATGGTGGCTTTTTTGACACTTTGTAGGGGTAATACTGCGCAGTAAGGACTTGTCAAATTAATCTATATTTTCGAATTACCCATTACTGACTGCTGATGTATATTTATGATATCACGAGTGCAAAATCTGCACCGAATCAATTAATACGACGGATCAAATGCTTTTTCCTTTTTGCCAATTTGAATTATCCAGCAGTTGATTGCAATCACTTAACATTTTCTTATTTGGAGACGCTATAGAAGCTAGTTTGAGTTACACTGCAGCTGATTTATTTCCTCTTACGTACATCTGCATATACTTTACAATAGTCATAAGCTAGGATTGAGTATGCCGTTCAGGAGATTCTTGACGCTAGGTAGCATTTGTAGGCTTCAAGATGTCGGTAAGCCAAAAGCTGAGGTGGCTGCAAAACGTGTTATGGAGAGAGTTAGTGGTGTCAATATTGTGCCACATTTTTGCCGGATCGAGGACAAGGAAATTGAATTTTACAATGACTTCCACATTATTGCACTTGGCCTTGATTCCATTGAAGCTCGAAGTTACATTAATGCTGTAGCTTGTAGCTTCCTTGGTATGCTATTCTTTAACTTTCTATATTTTCCTTATGTCTTTTATCTATCTTGCTTTCGTTAAATATCAATGGCATGATGATGAACGAGAACTTCTTGACTTTCTTTTCTCTTTGCAATGTCTAGAGTATGATTCTGATGATAGTCCATTGGAAGAAACAATTAAACCAATGGTAGATGGTGGAACTGAAGGCTTTAAGGGCCATGCAAGGGTAATTTTGCCAGGGGTCACACCATGCTTTGAGTGTACCATTTGGCTTTTTCCACCTCAAGTAAAGTTTCCTTTATGTACTCTAGCAGAAACTCCTAGAACTGCTGCTCATTGTATCGAGTATGCCCACCTAATTAAATGGGATGAGGTAATATGTCAGTTACCATGTTTTTCATTGATGGTTGTGAATGTATCAGTTTTGGGACTTCTGATACCTTTTCTTTTAGGTTCATAGTGGAAAAACTTTTGATCCAGATGATCCAGTGCATATGAAGTGGGTTTATAACGAGGTACATAAATTCCCATACGATCCGGGAACTCCTTTCAATTAGTGATTTTAAACTTCTAATTTATATTTCCACGTCTATAGGCTGTTAAGAGAGCCGAGCTTTTTGGCATTCCGGGAGTTACATATTCACTAACTCAGGTACATATTAGTCTGGGAATTTTCACATCAATAGTGATATATTGACGCTTTCTTATTATTTTTTATGAAAAGCCACGATTTCATTGAGAAGTTTTCTTATTATTTTTTTTTATCTTTATCTTATGGTTGTTCTTTTAGAAAGTGCTTATTAACTACTTTTAGTTTTTCTTAATTAATTCTTATGAGAAAGTTGATAGTTACTACTCACTTTCTGTTACAAATGCAGCTATATCTGATTTACATTTTCTAAATGTTGTTTAAGGGCGTTGTGAAGAATATCATACCTGCCATCGCTTCCACCAATGCAATTATATCAGCTGCATGTGCACTAGAAACATTGAAGATTGTATCAGGATGCAGCAAAACTCTATCCAACTACTTAACGTGTGTACTGTTTACTTTAACCATGTGATGATGCCTTTTCATTTTAATTAAATATTGATAATAATTTTCTGGTGCAACGTAATAGTGGGTTTTCTTTATTTCTTACTTAAATTGTATGAGTAGATTACATCACACGTCAAGCTGCAATGAGTCATTTGGATTTATCGCGTGCAGCATTTTTTCAGTGCTTGTTTTTTCATTTTGCAATATGATCTGAAAGTTCTGCTTCTCATCCATCCTTCTCCTAATTATTCTTATTATTCTATTCTTGAAGTGCAAGTCATCTAATGCCTAGTTAGTATACTACACGTTTTCTGGTTTACCAATCTTTTCCTTCTATTAATTTGGCAGTTTCTATAACAAGTACTATGTCCATGTTGGAAGTTGAATCTAGGCTTTTATGTGAATGACACACAATTTACGATGTTATTACTTGTTTTATTGTATATCCTGGTTGTCTTTCTGATGGGATTTAATACTCTTCCATTGTTTCCTTTTATTTGTGGCTTAAATTTGCAAATGCATAGAATTTAATTCGAAATGATCCTTTTCCAGATATAATGGTGCAGAAGGTCTCCACACTAAAGTGACCGAGTTTGTAAGAGATAAGGACTGTCTTGTATGTGGTCCAGGTGTTCTTATTGAGCTGGATTCTTCAATTACTTTACAAAAGGTCTGTTATTTAGCTTATCCCACTTCTACATGTTATGTGCAGAGTTTCAGACATATCACTATTATTGATCTTGTATTTCAAGTGCTGCTCTGTTAGTAAATTTCAGATGATGAGAAATCTCTTAATGGCTTCATGACGTCACTCCCAATTTAAATTTGTGTGAAACAGTTCATTGACCTGCTAGAAGATCATCCCAAGCTCTTGTTATCGAAGGCAAGCGTCACGCATCGAGGGAAGAATCTATACATGCAGGCGCCTCCTGTACTTGAAGAGATGACCAGATCAAATTTGAGTGTTCCACTTTTTGACTTGATGGGCAAAGTTTTGAAAGATGTAGTCCATGTGACTGGTGTAGCTTCTAAGAATGATAAGAAAACTTCATGTCTCCGAAAATTACGTGTGGCTTTTAAGGGTGTTGACGGTGTTACAGATATGGACACTGCAGGTGGGGCTTAATGTTTACATTTCATTTATATTTCCAAATTTGAGTCAGATGACTCTCTCCCCTCTTACATGGAAATTAATGGAAAAAGTTTGATGTGGGGTCGGATCTATTCCCATTTTGTACAATTTTTTTGTTGTCAAAAGATTCCTGAAAAGAACAATAGAGCTGTGAATTTGTTGCCAGAGACTGATGTATTGCACAATGATTTACTTCTTTCATCCCTCTTACTTCAAGCAACCATGTGAAAATTAACTACTAACAGTGATTGTGACTTAACATAGTGGATATTTGCGAAGATTTCCTGGTTGATGATGCATGTTTCAGTGCTGTTTCAGGCCATTTGTGTCAGCTTCAACTGGGAAAACTAGGTAACAAATTTGTCGCTGCTTGTATATTGAATAATTTTACTACTAATCCTCTGGTTTGGGAAGATTGTTTTTATCTGGTTAAGTAGAAGAGAGAGAAAACAACTAAATACTACTGTTTGTCTTTATGAATTCTCTCACCAGCTGCTGATCCCAAATCTTGATGGATTTTCTTGCTGAAGACAGGCGACTAACCAAGAGATATTACTGATGCTGAATATTTAATGCTATAGTAGAAAGAAAGAACCCTTTGATCTAACATCTTCTTGAGGGGCCTCCAATGCACAAGATGTTAGGCAGCAAACATGGAGGGTCCCCCAACCAGCTAGCAAACCGAGTGAAAATGTGGAACCCTACTACTACCATGATTATTGATTTAGTACTTTGCACATTTGGGTTCACTGTAAAGCTAAAGTGGATGAAAATTAGTGATATGGATTTTAATGAGCTTTTGAAAAAGAGTTGCAATATATCATGTTCGTTAGGAGATTTGATTCCCTTTTCCATATCAATATTTTTATGTATTTCCTGAAAACACAGGAAATGAGATGTGTTAAAAAGACTTTTATATTTAGTATATGGGTTTGTTTTCATTTTTTATTAGACTATAGATTTACTCATCCATAACACCAACAAGTGAGGCGAGAGATTCGAACTTCTGATTTCTTGATCAGACACAGGTATTAATTATTGTTGAGTTAAGTTCATGTTGGCCTCATCTATAACACTTTTTCCACATAATATGAACGGATCATACAAATTTAGTCTCTCTCAATCGTTGGGTTATCAAAACTATGTGCCAAACATCTCTGTATATGTTTTTGGAGAATGCAAATGCAATCGGCCCCACGAAAGAGATGTCCACCGACTGCCAGAACTAATGGTCTTAAAAAACATACAGATGCACGGATGAGTACCTATGACAGTTAGCTAGCTAGTTGAGAGCCAGATAGATCCTCTCCCATTTACGACAGTCCAGATCATTTATTGCTTTTCTGAATACTTTTCCATAGATACATGATCCAATCTACCTTGCTTATATTAATGTGAAACATGCTAATCAGATTTCCTCTTAGTGAACTGAAAATCCATTAAAGAAATGCTGCAGCAGAAGCCACAAACCCAAGTGCGCTGAAGATTTAAGCCTATCTTTGGGCTTTTAGATAACTGGATGGAGATGGTGGTTTTTGGAGAAGATTTTTGCCGGCAACCGATGATCCTCATCTTTTCCCCAACTGGATAACACCATTTAATGATTCTTGTGGGGTCTGCAGACTTTTGAGAGATTGGCCAGCTGTGGCCAATGACCCACCATCTCACATGCTCAGCCAATGTGGTTTTAACTCACCCATCACTCCCTTTTTCCAATTTCCCCTCCTTCAAAATTCTATATATCCTCTCTCTCTTTCCCACCCAAAAGAGAGAGAAGAGGGTGAAGGAAAGTGTGTGCGTGTGTTATAACAATACAAAGTAATTCTCTTTGGTTCTCTGCTTAAGCTAACAGACACCCCCAACAAGGCTAACTCTTTTTGCAGTTCTGAGTGTAGACATGGAAGTAGCTTTGGAAGTGGAAGATGATTTGTTCTTTGCAGATTTGAGCAGACAGCTCTCTCTTCTTCTCATGGATGAGAACGAAGATCCTCTCCCTCACCCACATGTATCTCTTCAGGTACTCCCTTTTCTCCCTCTCAAAGGGGTGTAGTTCAATCTTCTGTTGGGTTTCTCTCTCTGCTGTGTCTGTGAATTCAAACCACCTTGATCAATTTGCAGGCTTTCTCACA